TGGGGGGGAGCAAATCCTAAAAGGGACTCTTCGGCCTTTCTGGAGATCTGAATTCTCAGCCTGGGCTCCTGTTCTGGGTTAGGTGAATCTGGACCCTGTCGCCGCGGCTTAGGCCAGCAGCTTCGTGCTGCTTGTGAGTTTCTGTCTAATTGCAGCCTTGGGAAATGAACGCCGCCAGTGAAGTGCATTTTCATTTAGAAAATAACCAACCGGCAGTTATGCCCCCGGAACCACAGTCCCCCAAGCACACTGATTTTGTTTCCACTGGTGTTTGAGGCATTTGAAAAGCTATTAGATGACCCCAGCCGGGTTGGAGCTTCGTCCCCATACACCAAGGTTGAGGGTTCGATTCCTGGTCAGGGCACATACAAGATTCAACCAATGAGTAGCATGGACAAATGGAACAACAGAATCTGTGCTTCTTTCTTTCCTTTCCCCTCTCTCTCTAAAATCAATAAGGAATAAATTTTTAGAAAGTTACTAGATGAGAAGGGAAGGGGGAAGTCCTAAATTTTCAGCAATCATAAGGACAGAATTTTCTTCTTTCTAAACATGACTTTTCAGAGGGATTCCACACAGCCTTTCCACAGAACTTCAGAAAGGTTTTCATTCCTAAGCATCATTGCCAGCTGTGTATCAACACAACCATCTTTTTCTTAAAAACTGCGAAGGAAAGGACTGGTTCTGAGTGTTGTAGAGGATACAGAGCTGCATACAAGTTATCAAAGAGTGTACAGTCTGATTGGGGCATATGAAATGTACATTATGCAGGATTTAACTTAAATGACCGCTAAGGCAACAGTGAAAGAGATATCACAAGGTTAGAGTATTTGCCAAGCAAACATATGTCTTTAAAACCTAAATATTAGAAAAACATTTCAAAATTTGTATCATATATACATGTGTAAATGTCATTTCTTCACTGTATGAAGAAAGCTCTGTCTTCTATGGGCCTCGAGGAATTTTCATTCCAGTAATAACTTCCATTCCAAAAGTAAATGTTTAGAATAGCAATGAAAATAGTGATGCCAATTAATATTGATTGAGTGCTTATAGTGTGCAGGGATCTGTGAATGCACTTGACTTGTATTATCTCATTCAGCCCTTGTAACAGTTTGCTGAGGTTGGTGCCACCATTATCTTGATTTGTACAGAGAGGGGCACTGAAGCTAGAAAAAGACCATTGATTGCTAGAACTGGGATTTGAGCAGAAGTGTACTTATTATTTTTTTTAATTCTCACCTGAGGATATGTTTTTGTTGATT